AAAATGCGAACAATGTAAATATAGATAAAATAATATCAGAAAAACTAAAAACAAAGTTTGAAAAAAATTGTAAACAGATTTTAGACAATGATAACAAAGGGAAAAATCACAAAAATAAATTACGCACTTACAGAGAACTGAAAACAGACTTTGGCTTTGAAAACTACTTACACGTAGTCAAAAATACTCATCACAGGTCATCAATGACAAAATTGAGGATTAGTGCTCACAGACTACAAATAGAGACTGGGAGATATAACAACACAGATATATCTGACAGAAAATGTCTATGTTGTGAAAATAACGCCATAGAGGACGAAGAACATTTTATTTTAACATGTGATCTCTACGCTAAAAACTTTATCAGCTGTTATCACCCCAACACTTAGCAAACAATAAAGAAAAATTAAAATATATTTTAAATAATAAGATGAGAAAACAATAATACAAATAGCAAAATACATAGAGAACTGTTTCAAAACACGAGAGGAAAAGTTGACAACATTATAGTCAGCTATCTCAAGATAAGGTCATGTACATGCAATAGTAATCTAAACATTCACCAACACAATCCAATTTACTTTACCATTATTTTTTTTTTCTACTTTTATTTGCTAGTTGTTTTTATTTATTTTCCTGTGTGTATTTTTATTCTCACTTTAATTTGTCTTTATTTACATCTGTATTGCATTTTAGTCAAAATCCTAATAGGGATACGAACACAATAAAGATAATTATTATTAGTCATATATTTTCAAATATCAAAGACAATCATTTGTTTATCTATTCACTTTGTTGTATTGTTTATGAAGATGTGTTCCACCTGACATTGTAGTATGGCCAGAGAGTGTGGATAAAGTTTGTGAGGTCGTCAAGTTATGCAGCAAATACAGTATACCAATGGTTCCATTTGGTTCGGGTACCGGACTTGAAGGAGCGGCTACAGGAATAAGAGTGAGTATGGATACAACTTATTTCTGTTTTTCTTCATCAAGAATAATACAACAGCAATGTTTTAATTTGATAATATACAAATTGGGAAACAAAATCAGAAAATATTAAAATTTTATACTGTGGTTCACAAGACAGGTAATCACAATGAACTACTTCAGATGGTCACACAGCTCTGTCACTTGTACTTGCAATATTATAAAAAACGTCAGGAGCCCTCAAATAATCGAATTGCAAAAGACAGGAGCCCTCTAATTATGGTACATATCTCTCAATTATTATATTGCTTTTCATTCACGCAGGGCAGTGTTTGTATTGACATGACGAAAATGGATAAAATCGTTGAGGTGAACCCTGACGATTTTGATGTGACAGTTGAATCTGGTGTGACAAGAAATATGCTTAATAGTTACTTGCGAGATACTGGACTTTGGTTTCCTATTGGTAAGTATTAACACATTATCATATACCTTGTATTGCCCGGCCTCGTAACGCTATGGGATGTGTGCCCATACATCAGGGCAATAATTTCCTGTATCACGCCAGGCCAAGCACGCCCAGCTTTCATCAACCCAAACAAAACTTGTCATTCTAAATTACGTTGTGTGTTTGAGGTCATGCCATAGTAAAATGTAATTACTGTTATAAGGTATATGATAAAACCTTTATGGACTAGAAATGTCTTTTTTTGCACTCGGTTATACGGCTTACGCACCCTCGCAAGCTTGGGCACTCCAAGTGAAAATTTCTCTGGGGTCCTAAATTTTGTGTCTACGAATTCAATGAAAATCAGGAAATTTACAAAAATTGCTAGCAGTAAAAACAATTTATAGTACGAATGTTGGTCAAATGCATTATTTATTTTCATAAAATTTAAGGGCATGGCTACAATGACCACAAGTGACTCATTGCAAGTACAGTCGCAGGCCGGCCTGCTGCCTCAGAGACATATATGACTAAGAAGAGATATTTTTGTTTCCAGATCCTGGTGCTGATGCCACTGTATGTGGTATGTGTGCAACTAGTGCGTCTGGTACAAATGCTGTACGTTACGGCACCATGAGAGAAAACGTCATGAATTTACAGGTTGTGTTAGCCAATGGCAGTGTCATTGATACCGCTGGAAAGGGCAAGAGATCAAGGTCAGATGTGTATTGTTTTGTTGTGTTTTATGTCTAGATTGTCATTGTTTTTTTTACAAATTTATGCATAATAAATGGGTAACAACATGATTAATTTAACCTTAGAGCATTTCCGCCAAAGACGAGGACTTGAGTTGATTTTGTAGGTTGGTCTATTTTGATCTGTATCTTTGACATGCCTGGGTAAATCACATTCAAACTTCACTCATACACTCATAAATCAGGAGACATATGCACATCAATTTTTATCATGATTCGCTTCAAGATGGCCATTAGATGGCCATTTTAATGTTCAGAATTCATCAAAATCAAGAATTTCCTATTTCGAAACCAGATCCTAGTATTGTATGAATATATTTTGTGCGAACTTGGCACATATGTTATGCTTTATGAGACCTTGATGCATGTCATTTTTTTTTCAGATCAGAATCGAAATGGCCGACTGGTGGCCATTTTGTTTAAATAAATTTTGTTCCAGAGCCATATCTCTGAGATGCCTTGACCAATCATGTTCAAGTTTAATAGTTACATCATCCATCATGTCATATATATTCACATCAATTTATTGAATGATTCAATTGAAAATGACTGACTGGTCACCATTTCTGCCATTTTGGATCCAGGTTTTGGTTATACATAGACAGCATTTGTTCATCTTGGTGCATACATATACATGACAGGACTATGATGTGTGTTTTTTTCAGATCAGATTCAAAATGATCAAATGCAAATGCTATTCTAAAACCATGTCTCTGATATACATTGACAACAATTATATGTTACAATCATGTTAGTTGTTTTATGTTCTTATTGAAGTTGGCTGACTCATTTCAATTTTGTTTACTATTGAACTAATGAGGACTCCATTATGACTTGTTCATTTCAGGAAAACATCAGCCGGGTATAATTTGACTAATCTTTTTGTTGGTTCAGAGGGAACTCTAGGAATTATCACAAAAGCAACTATTAGGCTTCATGGCATTCCAGAATCTGTAAGTAAAAGATGGAAACCTGGTTTTTCACTATTTCTTAGAAAATATTTGTAATTTAAATAGATAGAATAACAATAGTGTAGTAGTTGTTGCAGCAGACACATGATCTGTAGGTTTGAGTTTATAAAAAACAACACCTAAATGTTAATGTGGGGTTGAGATTCATTCATGCAATTTTTGTGAAACCTTGATGAGTCCCGTAGTTCATAGTGGCTTGTGTTAGATTTTCATTTGATGAATCGATGACCACACAGCTGTGTCAATGACTAAAATCCACTGTTTGTACTGTCATTACTTGTAACAGTCAAACAGTCTGGAAAAACATAAATGACTTGTAGTGTCTCCTGCCCCTGAAAGTTTTTTTTTAAACAATACCTATTATTTTGGTAATACAATTTGTAAATCAATTTGATCAAGTATATTATATTACAGATGGTGTCTGCAGTGTGTACATTTGATACTGTGCAATCAGCTGTAGATACTGTTACACAAGTTATGCAATGTGGAATTCCAGTGTCTAGAATTGGTGAGATTTTATCCATTTCACTTTGAGTCCTTTGAGTCATTTTGAGTATCTGTTCAGTAACAGATAAATAAGATGTAATCATTTATTTGTCATTTTCATCAAACATATATAAATATGAATTGATAAAAAAGAAAACCCCTAAGTGAATAGATCATTGAAAATATCAGTATAAATATTTTTCCCTATACTTTTTTATATGAAATATGCAAGTACACAGATTGAGGGAGGAACTGAAAAAAGGGAGAACTACTATACTAATGGTGCATAGTAAACATCATATGTCTAAGTAGAAGAAGGCAATAAATTAAATTCATTAGTGGGTCACCATGAGCAACTCTTGAGGGAGGGTAATTTGGAGCAACTCTGGAGGGGTGATGTAGAGCAACTCTGGAGTGGAGGGGTGATTTGGAGCAACTCTGGAGGGGTGATTAGAGCAACTCTGTAGGGCTGATTTAGAGTAACTCTCTAATTGTTGATATTCATTCATTTTTTTTTTTTTTGTAGAATTTTTAGATGAAGTTATGATTGACGCCTGTAATAAATATAATAATGTTGATTATAAAATTGCTCCCACATTATTTCTTGAGTTCCAAGGAAATGACAAGGTTGTGGATGACCAGGCAAAAACTGTTGGTAAGAACTCTTACTTTATTCTTGAGTTCAGTTTTGCAGAGAAACAGGGAAATTCATTTTTTTTATTGAATGTTCTTTTGCAAATACTGTTATTGTTGTCAACTGATAGAAATTGTATTCTAGGGATGCAATAAGTTATTATTATGGTTGTGTTTGAATAAAAGGGATTCAAAATGGCCAACTGGTGGCCATATTATTTTAAAAATTTCAAACTACATTTTACATCTTGGGATATATGTGATGTGTATTTGTTCTGTGATCTGATTCAGGATGGCAAAAAGTGATGGAAATCACAGGACAAAATGTCTGATTGGTGGCCATTTTGTTTTACTGATTGACATGCACATGCACTCATATTTAAACATACATTGAAAACATTATATTGAAGACTGTGTCATATCATATCATAACTAGTTAAATGTGTTTTACCACCATATGTGCATAGCGGAACTGGTAGAATACAATGGTGGTTCTGATTTCACATGGGCCAAAGATGTAGATGAGAGAAATAAATTATGGAAGGCAAGACATAGTGCATGGTATTCTACATTGGCTCTCAGGCCTGGGGCAAAGGTAATACAGTGTTTTCTAGTTCAGAATCTACAAGTCATTGTAACACATAGCATTTGCATGGCAACAAGCTCTCTGAATTTGTGTTACATTTTCGTGTACATGTCTGTATTTCTTTAGCAGTCATATTGCTCTCACACGATTCAATAGGACAGTACATCACTTTCTACTCACTATTTGAAATATTAGGCATTTTTTTGAGCAACAACACCCTTGGAATGAACAAACAATTCTGAGCTTGATTCAATGCTCTTAATTTACAAAAATTAGGGAAAATCATGGATATTCATCTACATGTATTTGAGGAGATTTAGCAATTTATTGGCTATTTTTTGTTGTTTAAATTTAACAATTTACAATTTTACACAGTATAGCTACATTACTGATATGCCAGTTGCTGATTTTCTACTTATATTTATTCACTGACTGATATATTGTAATGTACAGGGATTGTCCACTGACGTTTGTGTACCAATTTCTAAACTACCAGAAGTCATCGTAGCTACTAAAGAAGACCTGAAGCATTCTTCTGTCATAGGTACATAATATAAAGCTTAATCATCAAAGATGGTCAGTGAAAATTCAAATGCCTGGTGTTTTTGACCATTGTCTAATTTTTTCTGACCTCAGTTGATCATGGTCAACATTGGTGAAAGTCATTTGGTGTCTCTGACCATTGCAATTGATCGTCAACCATGATAGTTCCTGGTTGCCCATCAAGTGGTCACATTGGTGGATTTAAACCCCCATCATTGAAAATGATTCACATTGGTTAAAGAACTCATTGACTCCAATCAATTTAACCACTGCATTGGTGATCTAAACATACTTTTTGAAAAATACACATATCGCTGTATTGAGATCCTAACATTGTAAATTATTCAGGTCCAATTGTAGGCCATGTTGGGGATGGTAATTTCCATGTGTTCATGAATGTTGATCCAGAGAACCAGGATGAAATTGATGAAGCCAGACGTCTAGCTGAAAGAATGGCAAGGTAGTTGTAACTAGCAATAATAAATCATTCCCTTCCATGCATCCACTGTTGTGACCACTGTTCTGTTGGGATGCTTGCTCTAATGATCATGGTCTGAAACCAATTTGTTTTTGCACAACTTATTTTTCAGACGTGCAATCGCAGTTGGTGGAACTTGTACCGGGGAACATGGTATAGGCCTTGGAAAGAAACAACTGTTAATTGAAGAAATTGGAGAAACAGGTGTTGCAACCATGAAACAAATTAAAGCAACCCTTGACCCCAAGGGATTATTCAATCCAGACAAAGTTTTTCTGTAATTCAGGCAGTTATTGAGATATTTCTTAACTCTGATTCAAGACAGACATAGACAGAGTGAGGCTATTGTATCTGCAGGGAAAACATGTATACATTTCAATTGTGGTCATAAAACTCATTAATACATCTGCTGTTTACTTTAATCGATGTGTCATGAATTAGCTAAAAAACATGATCTTGTATGTGCATTAAAAATACTTTGCAATATAATATATAACATCTGGAAATGTAACAAATTGTTTGTTTACGAACTGCCTGCCTGACTGATATTTTCACTGCTGATATGCAAATTATATTCTTTGATTTCAGTGTTTAAATAAAGTTCACACCCAATGGCCATTGAATGCTGATTAAACTGAACAATGAACATGAGTTCAAAGTATGTCAATGCCTCGTGTGCACTTATTCAACAAATGTGGACAAATTGATTATGATTTCTTGGTGATTATCATAAAGTCGTATTTAATTACGTATGTAATTATAACGTCATGGACTTGCCCTTTTGTTTGTGGAGAATGGAAGTTATTTTTCATTTTTGAAGTGGTGTATCCATGCTGTATTTTCACTTTCGTAGCTCATGAAAATAAGACCTCATGATGCAACATATCACTCATGAAAAAACATTCCAAACCCCACAAATATCAGCCATGGCAATCTAATATTTATTAAATCCTTTGAAAAAAATCGTTCTTTAACCCAGAGAACTCATACAGCATTAGTGGTCAAATCAATGAGAGAAATATAGATGAACAGACACAAATAAAAAGCTATGAAGAGTTAGATAAATGTCAATGTTCATCAAACAGCAGAAGCTTTTCAAATCCAACAATGTTCGTAATAATGTCATTTTCACAGTGTAAAGCTTTACCAGTTTTCATCTACTTTATATTTGTAACGAATTGAACCTTTCCTATTAACAATGATTGATTGATTAATAACGTTTTCAATGCGTAGTATAGTGGTATACAGAGTGAAGCAATAAAAGAAATCACTAAGTTATCTTGAAAAAAACGTCTTTTTAATTTGTTTAATATCTACTTTTTTGTTCATAAAACTTCTAGAAAAAAAGAAATTATTGTAATTCTGAAGCCCTTGTTTGATTGTAGATACTAGATATTAAAATGTTAGATAACGTCTGTGTTTTATGGAGTTTTATGGATATCCATTCAGACAAGTCATCCATTGTTTTTCTTGATAAGAACTCATTGCGAAAGATATTTTTGTAAGATATATTATCATTACCATGTTCATTTAGGTGCTCACTCTTTCGGAAAGCATCTGTTTATGACTCTGAATGATGTATGAAGGGTGCGACATGTGAAGCTGAGTGTGCTCACTCGTTTCAAAATACCTGACATCACTTATTGTATTCATTCACATTCAAATATAGTGGTGATGTTCTTTATATATAGCTATTCAATGGCGGCTCAAAGTGTTGTAATATCACGAATCATCAAGATCTGATTGAAGACGAAGTTTATGTATGTGCCACTGTGCGAAACGATTGTAATTCCGAAACAAAACATGATAGTTCAAAATACCAACTACAGATTTTGAAAAGTCATCCTTTTGTTTTAAACAACATTATTATTAGAGTTGAAATTCCATGCCTGGGATGTGTCCTATGGTAAACTACCATAGCAACAACAAATTCTGGACAAGAAATATAATTAAAAACTGTAGTATCATGAAAAGAAACTTCAAATACTTTTGGAATGCTGACTCTAGAGAAAATGTATATTCTCTGTTGTCTTATGTTAAATTTACTTTTTTTGCGTCATATAATGCACCCCTGTTTAATCTTTTTATTTGCAAACATCGTTAAAGCTGGAGAGTGAATGCCGGGACTATGGCTCAATGCGAAATAGTTCGCTTCAAACAGAAAAGAAATCATGGCCAAAAGAATCGACAGTTTTTGCTACCTATTGATTATTATAAGGCTCATAAATTAGTCAATGGCCACTCAAAATGCCTTATCATCAAAATCTGATATCATGATAATTCAAAACACCGTCTCCGGGCACTGACTATTCATTTTGATCAAAAATAACTGACACAAACAAGACTATACAGAACACTTACAAATTATCATATACAATTTGTTAAACAAAAGTGATATTTCTACTTCTTCTATTCGCCTTATAAGCACAACTATTTATTTTAATTAGTAATGTTCATTTGAAATATAAAACCTGGCATCACTTCATGTATACCAGGGAGTCCGTATATCCTTTTTTAATGATTAGACGGTGTTGTTGAATGTATTATTTTTGTAGATTTATTTCTATTGTTGTCCGTCATTGCACCATGTACCAATGTGAACGAATGACTGTTGCTATGGTGCACGAATTACATTGGTCATTCTCCAGCATAGACCAGCAGGCTAAAGTCAGTCCGATGGCTAGCTGTGATACCGATTTCTGTTACTGTCGTTTTTGTCTTAGCTACATCAGAACAAAAATTATTTTTACTGTCTGTTCCTATTTCATGATATATTCAAAATGCGTACAGTGAGTTAATTTATTTGTATTGCGCTGAAATGTATCGCATACATTAAATATCAAACACATCTTCGTAGCTACGCTTAGATCATTATATCGTACGAATGAAAAAAAAAACCTAGAAGTATTTTGATGACCATTTCCATTTCAAAATGTTACCCTTTATTTAAGTTTTGAAGTACGTTTGTGCTAGCATAACGTATTCTGTGACGTCAGTGCATCGACTTGTACATATGGACCAGGTTGTTCTCTATTAGTACATGACACTTGGTAATACATGTTTCGTTCTCTATCATAGCTATTTATCTATGTTTGATCTCACACCACAAAATAGTGTACTTCGAGATTAGGGTGTATTGGTTTGCTCATTGACAAGGATAGGTCAGTTGGTTGTTTTATGGAAATACTTGAGTTTTGCATTTACTATTTTAAGAGTTTGAGCAGGACAACACGTGCAATTCTACATTGATACATTTATTACGCACATAGAGGGCTCCACCAAACATTTCAAAAACGCAGATGGTTTGTCAAAATTCATCTGCCTGCTAATTATAAAAATAAATTGGGTTCTTTTGAATATTATCTTCAATACAAACAACACAGTAATTTTCAACCAATATTCATACATGCTAAACATAACATTTATCTGAGAATAACAACAACTTGTAACATCATAGCATCAATTTAAATATGGACTGTTGCAATATATCGCAAATTGAAAACATTCTTGCATATATATATATATATATATATAAAACATAGTTCAGAGCGACTTAACTACGCTGTGCTATTAAGTAATACTGTTCATATTCTAATTCATCTATGGTATTGCTGTGCTATGAATTCATACACCTAATTTCATAACGTTTGTATTTTGTAGACTAAACAAAATGTTCTTTCAGTCGACCTTCCATTGGTGTCCTATATGAATCAGCCATACGAGTGATTGCTTCATTGTCTTTACATCATATATTATCATATATACTACACTTATGTCACATATGATCAGTTTCTGTTAAAATAAAATACCAATAATATATTGTTATTAAAAATATTTATATAGTCATTGGGAAATAAAGATGCCAAAACAAAAATTGTGTAGATTGACCAAACAAAGCGGACGCATCGAATCAGTGATTTGTGTTTAAGTATGAATTAATCTGTTAAGGTTTTCGAAATCGGAATTTTTGTGATTCGGATATACAGTCTATGACTAAGAATGTTGGGTTAATATTAAGTTTATTTATCTTTGATAATTTGATTAAATTCATAATAATGAACGTTCTGTGACCTTACTTGCTGTCACTCATGGTGTGTCACATTTCTTTAAAAAGAATAAGATTATATAATTATATGTTTAACCAGTCGATATAAATATTATGATATTTGTGTTAAAATGCAATTAATTTAGGGGTGGAATAAAAGAAAGTCAAAACAATTGGTAAAACATTGTGACCAATTTAGTATCTAAGAAACAATTTCACTATGGTCATGTCAAAAGAAAGTTTTCCAACTCAGCTGTTTACTTTACCGCACAAGCATAAAACTCATAAATGACTACTGTTTTAGCAAGTAAAGACAAATCTGTACTTACTTCGCGGATAATAACAATAGAGTGAGACTTGCAGCAAACATGATAACTGATCTTGGTCTCAATATCAAAGAACCGTTTTCCTCTCCGTTTTCCCCTCCGTTTTCCCCTCCGTTTTCCCCTCCGTTTTCTCCTACATTTTCCTCTCCGTCTTCTGGTAAGTAAGAAAATGAAGTACAAATGTAATAAGTGTTATCAACATTGTGTGTTCTAGAATGAGTTATGTGGTCGCCGAACACACTTCTTCATTTAAGGATCATGGAACATTTTTTCTTTGTCCGGGTTTTTTAAAAACAGTGTAATATTTCTTTGTGATTGAAAGGGCATATTTTAATTGGCTCCCATGAAGTCCTGTCTATTATATATGTAAGTAAAGTGATTGAAGTAAAAATCCCTTTTTAATGACCCGCTAGCTTTTTTTTCGTTGTATAAGACCATGTACAACATCAACAACCAAGCTTTTCACAACTCCTAATATTTTGATGGAAGTTAGTTGATCAAATATTATCAAATATATCTAATATTAATATAACTTACGGCAATAATCGTCGTTTTCCTCACAGTTTACTAGAAAAGGAAATATTGATGGCATTATTTGTAACGTTGCAACACCCGTGTAATATAATGGAACTAATAAATGAATGCGGGTATATATTTGTCACAAAAATTACAAAAAGCAGGAGGTTCAAGTGTGCCCTGGACAAATGGACAAATTATTCGAAATGACTACATATCCAAAAATAGTTTTCTATTTCAATGGCATTATTTACATCCATCTACGTCATTTGACGTCACAAAAGCACTTGTGTATTGTACATTTGGATAGGATGCAAGAGGTACGATTCAATAAACAGTAATTAAAATACAACTATTTTCCGCACTCAAGTGAGAAACAGTTGTATGTAAATATAAGCATAATGAATACTCACTACAGACGTTGCTGGAACATTCAGATAGTTCTGACGCGCATTCCGTGCACGGGTCCCCGGATGTATAGGGTTTTTCACCTCCCCAGTTGCCACTGAGTAGAATAAAATAAGCATTTCATTGCATCAAATCTAACATACTTCCGGGATACATATTATAAGAGTACTTATAAGGAGTGCATATTTAGCTTTTAGCTCCAAGGACAGGTGTACTTGTTATTGTCAATTTTAAGCTTGTTACTTTCAAATTGATGAAGGAATTTGCTCTACCATCCACTTTGGGTTGGTGTTGTCGTCATGTATTGTGATTTGTACCTTTAAAATCAGTGGTAGCTGTAGGACTTACTTAGGGTTTATAAGCATATGCGTTTACTTCAAGAGAAACTATGGCGAAACCTTTCCTCGCGCCCTCTAGTGACGTCAAAATATAGTTATGATTAAACCGATCTGGTTATGCAGAGGTTCGTCAGTTAGAACATGATACCGAATCTCGTTTGAAAAACAAATATTGATTATGGACGACTACAATATGAATGTTATTTATCTACGGCGTTTCTTTTCAATTTACAATACAGAAACGGTTCATCGATAGGTGTGTTTGAGAACAAACTCAGAATTGACAATTTACAAGATCCCTGAGCACGTGTGATTCTGTCTGATTACGTCACCAACTTGTAAGTCCGTTCCAAGTTGGTTTACGAGTCGCACGATCACGAGTCGTGCAGACAAACACAAACATCCGAGCAATTTTAGTTTGTTCACGGTTACACGCAGCATTTTCATGCAGTATTTTCCTATCTTGTAGCGATGAGATTCTCTTGGTTTTTTATAAGCATATACAAATTTCGCATTTCAAACTGAAACAAAAGATTTCTATTGTCCGATGGAGTGGCCATGATTAGGACATTTTTAAATGATGTCATTAACAATTTATTAACTCATAACAACCTACTGAAGGAGGTTGCCAGACACTACACACAAGACTGGGATACAGCGTTTAGAAAACAAAATATGGATATAGTTCAAGGTCATGTGATCAATTCATTGTCTTGACTGATATGTTGAGAACACGAACGGTTGTCGCGACTACCACGAATGATTACAAACAAGAGAAATGTATGAATTAAATTTACATACGCTGGTCCATAGTTGCAAGTCATTAGCCATGCATTCGTGAAATCTGAAAAGGCAACAGTCGGACAAAATGTCACACCACATCCAACAGCCACTGACGAATGCCATACTACCTGAAAAGAAGAAAACTTTCAGTGGTATATCGTGGTCAATCACGACTTGGCAAAGAAAGTGTATATGAGTAGTGCAAACGTCACAGTGTACCGTTCTTATAAATCACGCCCTCTAGTGAGAAAGTGCTTCCATGACGTAAATGGGCGACATGAAAGCTGTTCAAATCAGTGATATCAATTTGGTCTGTATTCGTTCATTAATGAAGATTATGTTTTTAAGTTATTTTAATATATTCTAGATGACGAAAGACAAAACACCCGAACACTGGTTGATTTGAACAACACGGCCTTCACACTTATACGTCATTTCGACGTCACAGAACCGTTCTATCACGGGGCGCAATTTATAAAACTGGTTTGCATTCCCGGTTCCGGTTCCGCGTTTTATAGACAACCATAATCGATGCTAGGTCTCAACATAGTGTGTGTGTGTGTGTGTGTGTGTGTGTGTGTGTGTG